GAGAATCGCTTGAACCTGGGAGGCGGAGGCTGCAGTGAGCAGAGATTGTGCCACTGCACTCCAGCCTTGGCAACAGAGGGAGACTGTCTCAAAAAAAAAAAAAAAAGTACTCATACTAGCTACCATTTCTGATGCTTCCCACGTGCTAGGGGCTATTCTTCACACTCTACTGTGTCAACTAATTTAGTCTGCACTACTTATGCAGTAGACTCTATTACCCCATTTTACAGATGAGAAGGTAGAGGCCGAAGTAACTCAGAGAGATGAAATAACTCAGCTCAAATCAACAGTAGTAAGTAGGCCAGGTACAGTGGCTCATGCCTGGAGTCCCAACACTTTGGGAGGCCCAGGTAGGAGGATTACTTGAGGCTAGGAGTTGGAGACCCGCCTGGTCAACATAGTGAGACCTCGTCTCTACCAAAACAAACAAAACAAAACAAACAAACAAAAACTTAGCCAGGTATGGTGGTGCATGGCTGTGGTCCCAGCTACTTGGGAGGGTGAGGCAGGAGGATTGCTTGAGCCCAGGAGTCTGAGGCTGCAGTGAGCCGTGATCATGCCACTGCACTCCAGCTTGGGTTACAGAGCAAGACCTTGTCTCTAAAAAAAAAGTAATAAAATAGTAGTAAGTAGGATGAAGCTGGACTCTCTGGCTTCAGAGCCTGTACTCTCAGCTTCATCATTAATACCGTGATGAGACCCTCGACTGCAAAGGGCCTAGGTGCTTTTCTTTGGAGGGAATGTGGGGTTGGGGGGCAGACTGAGCCCCACTTCACAGCTCAGCTTAGGTGGGAGATGAGAAAAGAATATTGGCTGGGCATGGTGGTTCATGCCTGGAATCCCAACTCTTTGGGAGGCCCAGATGGGAGGATCCCTTGAGTCCGGGAGTTTGAGACCAGCCTGGGTAACATGATGAGACTCCATCTCTACAAAAAGATTTTAAAAAATTAGCCTGGTGTGGTGGCTTGCACCTGGGGTCCCAGCTACTCTAGAAGCTGAGGTAGGATGATTGCTGAGCCCAGGAGGTTGAGGCTGTAATGAGACATGATCGTACCACTGCACTCCAGCCTGGACAAAAGAGCAAGACCCTGTCTCCAAACAAACAGAAATAATTCTGCAGAATGGTGGTGATGGAGGGTTGCCTCCCAAGGTGTAGTGTTTACCTGGTAGAACTGATTTGAAAGTGCTCAGGACTGGGGGTGTTCCCAGCCCCCCAGCTCCCACTGTCTCCTGGTGGCCAGCCTAAATGTGACTCCCCACTGCAAAAACAGCTCTTCTAGCCAATAGCCTTCATAGGAATTTCCCAGAAGAGCTCTGTAAGCCCATGGGCCTAGGACTGGATAACCCGGGAGCAGGAGGCCAGGTTCCATCTTGCGGATTCAGTAGAACCCAGTGGTTAAACCAGACCACACTTCCCAGCCTCCCTTGCAGGTAGGTGTGGCTCCTGGCCAATGAATGTGAGTGGAAGTGAGGAGTATCACCTCCCAGCCTGGCTCACTAAAAACCTCTCATGTCTGCTCCTTCATGTTCTTTGCCCCTTCTGGCTGGCTGGAATGGAGGTAGCTTCCATCACCTGGATCCCTGAGTGTGACTACATGGGGAAGGCTGCCCAGCCCAACATGGCCAAAGTGCTAAGCACAGTCACGTGAGCAAGATCTAAGCTGGAGAACTTCAGCTCCTGAAGGCTGAGCCTTACCCCTCAGCCATCTGCTTTGTAAATGTGTTACCTGCTTAGGACAGTTCTCTTTGCATCCATGAGGAGCCAAGACAAGTCACAGCTACAAGTGAGGGGGTTGCCAAAAAGGTTGATCGATAGGACCTGGGAGGAATCCAGGGTCCAAGGAGGGAAGGAACTCAAGTTGCAGCTGAAATACACACAAAAAAATGAATTAAGTCAGCTTTTTACAATTGAATCAAAGATATTCCCAGAGAGGCATGGTGTCAGAACCATGCCCACGGTATCAGAAGCATTCTGATAGGGGTTGGAGAATACTGCTTTGGGCAAAACTCTTAATGACCTCGAACTTCATTTTTTGTCCTCTGTTGTAAAATGGAGATACCAACCTAACAGGAAATATTATACTTCATATCAACTGGGGACAATATTCCCATGACCGATGGTTGTATCAAAAAGAGTGCGTGTTGGCTGGGCACGGTGGCTCACACCTGTAATCCCAGCACTTTGGGAGGCCGAGGCAGGTGGATTATTTGAGGTTAGGAGTTCGAGACCAGCCTGGCCAACATGGTGAAACTCTGTCTGTACTACAAATACAAAAATTAGTCGGGCAGTAGTGGTGGACCTATAATCGCAGCTACTCGGGAGGCTGAGGCAGGAGAATCACTTGAGCCTGGGAGGCAGAGGTTGCGGTGAGCCAAGATCACACCACTACCCTCCAGGATAGGCAGAAGAGTGAGACCCTGTCTCAAAAAACAAAACAAAACAAACAAACAAACAGAAACAAAAAAGAGTACATGATGATAAAAGTGTTTGTAAATGCAGATCTCTAAATAGAAGCAGATATTGTTATT